TCCAAATATTCTAGAAAAGTTTTCTAACCGGCCAATTAAGCTGGCGCGTACCAGTAGAAATTATCAAATGAATATTTATTTTGTTTTTGCGATTTAATAACGAAACATAAATTCAAACATTGTGTCACGATATACAAAAATGAAAATAACTTAAAGATTACATGCGACACGGGGCGAACAAATCAAAAAAAAATATAAGACAATTAATAAAAGAAGCGACCCACGGTTCCGGCAACGAAGGGCCCAGCTCCCGGACCAGAGAGGCTAACAGAATCACACCCCGGCCAGGTTTCGACGCAGCCGTGCGCCTCAGCCATACCCTCACCGACGATATCCAGAAGGACCAAGGACTCATCCGAGTAAGTCCGTTCCATAACGCCCAGTCTCGCCCCGAGCAACAGGCAGAGGCACAAGTAGACTCATGTTCGAGACCCCTGACCTAGAAAAGATATTTTTTTCCATCATTAGAGTTAGCTCTATTGTATAAATGCATACATAGGCCTAGTTTCGCATCAGAAAATTTCCGAAAGTGCACACGGTGAAGGAAAGGCCCCAACGTCTGCCAAATAAATAAAAAAAGGAAATATTTAGATTTTGTTAATTTGTGAACGAGCGCTACCCGCTTGTATGTATATATATGACATGCACCGTATGTGTTAATTTTAATTTTAATGAATTGCAATCATTTATAAGCTCATATTGAGAGAAAAGAATGTCCGGCTAAGTTTCAATTGATGGGGAGAAGGGGCATGACAGCCGACATGGGCTGGTTGAAGGCCATCTAGTGGCCAAAATGAGGGAGACGAGATCAGGTGATCGTCTCAGGTAGGGCGGGTACGCTGGGTCCGGAACCGGGACCTGATCTGGAAGAGTAAAGTGGATAAATAGTGTTTTTTTGTTAACCTTTTCTTGTTGTTACACCTGTTAGTGTTGTTCATTTGTTAAAAGTTCCGACTGTTCGTTGTTATCGATTATGTAGTGTATGATATTTTTTATTTACCGGCCAATTGACTTCAAACTAATTTTAAAAAAATAAAAATAAATAAAATACATCAGATTCATTGTAGTGCGGGAAGATACTAATTGTCACCTGGCGGGAATGGAAAATTGCATATTAAAAATTTGGAAAAATCTGGCATGGGTAAAACCGCATAATATACGTTAGGCAATTTTTTTTGTTATATTATAGAACATAAACATATTTAAAATGCTCAATTTATATAGGATGAATGAAGTCAATTTAACATATAAATTTTTATTTGTGTTATTATTTTTATACCCTAAACCACTAACCAAATAACATATAGACCGGACAAACCGTACTTTCGATGGTGACATTTGTTATTTTTGCGGCTGGTCCAAACTCGCCTTCGTTTTTGTTCGGGTTCGATACATGCCCGCATGCTCTCAGAGCAAGAGAGTAAGAATACATATGGCCTGTGTCGGGGAACGGCAACGCTGTCTTTTTACTCGCTCACTCTACAAGAAACTGCTGTGGCTTACTCTCATCCATATGATTTGTGCGATAGAACGGCATCGCTGTTTTTTATCTCGCTCCTACTACAGGAAACTGCTTTGACTTACTCTCAGTGCTCTTTCAATTTGTCTATGTACCGTTTAAATGTTTGTGTGTGTATGTGTCCGCACAAGCAAAAATGCCCACATATTCAATTTTTCTCAAAAGTCGGTGGCATATCTTTCCTTTTGAGGGGACGAGTAATATGAAATAATGAAAGGGTTGCCCCGTCGATGCGAAATTCCTTCATTTTAGCTCGTTCTTCTTCGAAAGGGTACCTAAGCGTTGGCATGTGTGCATTTAAAAGTTTTTGGACTTGCTATTCACGCATACTTGCATATTTTGTATATGAATAGAAGCATTTGTGCGCTTGTGTGCCTGTTGGTCCCTGCCTGCCTGTCCGATGCAAATTTGGCAATATTTTTGGACTTCTGAATTTCGAGCTCTACACATACACACAGCGACACAAATGTGTGTGAATGGGCTGATCATGGGCGCAAAATTTAAAAATATCATTATTGGCACGCGTCTGACGCGCGTACTTCTTTTTATGATTTAGGGCTTGAATTGATGAATGAATGTTGACCCCTTATTATCTGCAGCAGCAGACAAATTGAAAGAGCACTGAGAGTAAGCCAAGCAGTTTCCTGTAGTGGGAGCGAGATAAAAAACAGCGATGCCGTTCTATCGCACAAATCATATGGATGAGAGTAAGCCACAGCAGTTTCTTGTAGAGTGAGCGAGTAAAAAGACAGCGTTGCCGTTCCCCGACACAGGCCATAGGTATTCTTACTCTCTTGCTCTGAGAGCATGCGGGCATGTCTCGAACCCGAACAAAAACGAAGGCGAGTTTGGACCAGCCGCAAAAATAACTAATGTCACCATCGAAAGTACGGTTTGTCCGGTCTATATGTTATTTGGTTAGTGCCTAAACCCATTGAAAATGGGTGAAAATGGTATAATGTATTTGTGCTAATGTATGTAACAGACAGAAGGAAGCATCTCCGACCCCAAAAAGTATATATATTCTTATTCAGCATCAATAGCCGAATCGATCTAACCATGTCCGTCTGCCTGTCCGTCTCGAATTATATGTATTCATGAAAAAACGGAAAAGACTTATAAATAATAAAATTAATAAGGCAAAGCAAATTATATGAGTAGTATTCAGTCATAGTCAATCGTGCAGGTTTTGGAAAAATCAAATTTTTCCATTTCTCTCAGGGGCAATTATCCCTGAATTAAAATATTTAAAAAATGGTGAAAACTTAATTTTTCAACGTATAGGTTAACCCATATTATAAGCTAAAACACATGAAAGTAGACAATAAATCATTTAAAATTTAGCAATTCTGCAATTCAATTTATTTGGTTTAGCGCCTAAAAACACAAATAAATGCATTTAAAAGTGAGCGATAACATTTTCCAATTCCAAGTATCAAAAATCGACGCTAAGTCACCGCCGCTAATTTGACGCACATCAATAGTGCCGCCCTCACGCTATCGCCAATTTTCGATTGTTTATATTAATTAAATACCCAATATTTAAGTTCGGCCACCGAAAATGGTATCCTGAAAAAGATACCACCCCCGACTTATTTGGAAATTTTTCTTTTTCCGTGACTAGAAAGAATTACCGAATTCGATTGCTTGGAAACGAAACGTTACAAATGTCAAGTCTCCAGCCGACGATAATCAATATCTTAATAGGGTTGAAGATGTTTCCTTCTGACTGTTACATATGTACATTTCTCCTAAAAGCATACTCATAACCCAATTATTTTGGTTTGAGGGTATGAAGTTTTTGATCCAAATACATTCGGTGTACCACCCCCCCCCCCCCCCCCCCCACAAAAATCCATAATTTCAGATTTAGTCGATTACAAAAAAAATTACAACACGACAAAAATATATGCGCAGACAGTTTTTAACATGTATTTGGAAATTTTTCACTGAAACATATTTCTCTTTAACGCTTTCGATGCATATGTTCGCGATTTTTCCGTTTCCAGGCCGCACGTCTAGATCCACCAATAGTTTGTGAATATCTATATCCTTTTCCGATTCCACGCGAGCTTTTCCCAGCAGAGGTCAACCCACGAAGTTCGCGGTGCTTATGCACATGCTTACATATCCAATTTACTTTGGGGTCACGACAAATCGCATTATGATGAATATCTACTAATATAACTTCAAAGTATTTGTAGGAAGCGTCCTGTGCTACCCAGTAAGAATTTAGTACGCGCAAGCCACCAAGTCTCCGACCGACACGCTCCTGAAATAGAAACAATTAAATAAATATTTCGTAATATAAAACTTAAAATATTTAATTTTACTAGGCTCAGACATCTAAGGAAGTTAATACTCATTATCTTTCAGGAATTATGTATCTATCATCAAAAACAAATGAATGGTTCATACATTCAATACAAAATATTACAAATCTTACTTCAGCAATAGACTGCAATCCACGATATGGTTTTAGTTGGTTTACACCATGACTTTTTGGCTTTCCATATGTACATCCCTTTGGCACTGGGCGCTTACGACCACCACGGCGGACTCGAATTCTATAAATGACAAATCCTTGCTTGGCACGGTATCCTAAACGTCGTGCCTTATCTGGACGAGTAGGTCTGGGTGAACGATGCAATTTTGTCAATTGACGATACTGCCAAACACGGATGCGAAGCAAATAGCGCATAACATCACTTTGCTTCTTCCTGTACAACTCTTGCATATACCGGTAGGCACCCATATCCAACGATTGATAGACCTAGTAACAAATGAGATGTTATTTCTAGACATAACGTGTCACATCATTGGTCTTTAAAAAAAAAACTAAATTATCTAAACATAAAAGTAAAATAAGTGGCTATTAAAATAAAATTTAAAAACGTTAAATTTATAGCTACAAATGCGTCAGCATATCCATAATCTGCACATGGCTCAACAAAGGCATAAGAGTGGTGCATGGAAAATATCATCAGTTCAAAATGTTGTTTAAATTTAATATATACCCGTTAGTTGCACATACCTGTAAAACAGAAGAACAATTATATTATCGAAATGTGAAGTGATGGTTTTACAACGTAGGCAATTCTATTTGAAAACTATGCGTCTTCCACCCACCTTAGAAGCCGACCAAAACCCAAAAGACGGAAGTGTGGTATATTGTCAGTAGATATTCTCAGTTAGAGTTGCTTTGGATATTGGGATCGACTATGCCAGATGTTCATATTAACAAGGATTTTTAAACTCTGGAAATGGAACACAAAAATCCAATTTTTTTAATACACGACCTATACCGTATATAAATGTTAAAGAGCAGTCATGTTTCTGAAACAAGCAATTTCATACGAGAGTTTGCTTTAAAGTTATTTAGTACTGAGCAACATTTACCATATTACATTTTCTGTCCAGATGCTGCGAAAGGTTATCCATGCCAACATATTCTCATATATTTTAACCAATCTGAGAGATATTTCTATCCCACAGTGCACCATACAATATTTATCCGATAGTTTTTATGACATCTTTTCAAAAATTGTTATTCTCTACGAATGTGTAGACAAACAAAACAAATTGCTTAGTTTACTTTATTTGTCTGACGTGCGCGCAAGTAAGTATTAAGCCAGCGTGGAAAAAATTGGCACATTCATAGAGATGGCAGACCAGATAAAGCAATCCGGATTTACTAGGCGATCGACTAACATCAAATCAAAATTGGATAATTTAACCCGAAAATAAAAGTATGATTTTTCGTTGTAGTGCGGAAAAAAATACATTTTACATTTTTCAGATAAGAATAACAATGAAATGTACCGATTATAGAAGCTCCACCCAAATGGGTTAATTCTTAAAAAATAGATCAAAGTTGTGGCTCGTTAAGGAGTCACGGTGGATAACCAGAGTAAGTTGTTATCATAATTGTTTTTAATTATTTTATTGATATGTGTTTTAAATTAAGGACATATGACAGAATACATTGAAAATGACCCGACTATATTCGATCCCGACAGCACTGTCGAGGCTTCTCCATCAAAGAGCTCCAGCATTGACCATCAAGCTGAGCTGGTCAGCATTGACTGTGAAAGGCTTCAAATTAAAAAATAAAAAAAAAAAACATTGTGCATTGAAACAAGATTTAGCCGATCTTATTTCTTCGGCCCATGATTATTATAGTTAGAAGTATGACTTTGGTGTGGCTTCTCACGCACCTCGTTAAAAGCGATTTCCTAACAGTCACTACTGTTATGCTCCTGCTGTTATGGACATTTAAAATATTATGCAGTATGCAGCATGTCTTTATTATTAATGCGACTTTATTTCTTGGGTAATTTTTTAAGTCCTTTCCCTATGCGTCGAAATCTTTGCTTCAACTGGTCGTCTGACTTTTGAAACGTTATAATTAAATTTTTTGATTTGCTAATGCGGTTGTTATGAATGGATATGGCCTTATGGGTTTCCGTGAAATCAGAATTTCAGAGTCAGTATATTAACTGGTACAGGGACTTTAATACCTCTTATTTCTCTCGCATTTTCTTTGTTACGGAACTGCTTGTTTCTCAGTGGGCCGCGCCGGCTGGCTCATCGGATTCTCTGGGTGCAGTCCCATCCCTGGCCCGCAGTCCGCACAATCGATAACAACAAAGCTACACGTCTGTAGCAAAACAGACTCACACAACACTACTCAAAATGAACCACATAATCGATAACAAATATTCGGAACTGCTAACTCATGAACAAAATAAACAGCTGTAACAACTATGAAAATGTAAACAACAAAGGTGAGACACTCAATATAAATTAACAAAAAAACACTATTTATCCACCTTACTCTTCCAGATCGGGCCCCGGTTCCGGACCCAGCGTACCCGCCCTACCATGAGACGATCACCTACACTCGTCTCCCTCATTTTGGCCACTAAATGGCCTACATTAGCCCGTGTCGGCCATCATGCCCACTCTCCCCAACAATATTACTTTAGCCGGACATGCTTTCTTTCAATATGTGCGTATAATTGGTTGCGTTTTCTTAAAATTTATAACAATTATAATCATCGCTTATGGCATTTATCTTGCAGCTATTTAGAATCTCATGCAAGTGGATATTTCGTTAACTTCACAGGTGCGTATAATGGTTTGTGTAATCTTATAATTATTGGCATTAATATTTCTTTTATTTCTTTCTAATTTGCACGAGGATCTCCATTCAGATAAATTAGTATTCATGCACGGAACATTTCTTCTCCGGGTGCGTATTAATGTTACATATATTTATACTTATGGACAAAGTGTATTAATTCCTAAATTTTTCTCTTATCTTATAGAATTCATTTTTTTATTTTAACAGCACTAAATGGAACAGGCGACGAAATACTACAAAGATATTGCTAGTCGCCGCAAAAGAAACACGCAAGGAGGCAATTTAGAGGCAATCGTTGCGCCGATTTAGGAACAATGGCCCACACAAATACTTAAAACTGGGTATGTCACGATAATCAGTCGTGCAACAGGTAGGTGATATAGATCTGTATTAAATCGCTTAATTCTACCTTACCCTACCTAAAGAGCTCTCTGGGGGTGGTAAGGGGCGATATAAATGGGTAAATTCCAATTAGGTAAGTATGTGAGCATAGTTCGCGCAAGTGTTAATTTTAAATTTTTGTATTTTACAGGCGCAGATGCATCACCTTTGGAGTTTCCCTCACCGTTCGCACTCTAAAGTGAAGCTCGGCGTAAGTGCCTATGTATGTATAGATATAATTTATAAATACAAAAAAAAACTAAATTTAACGACAAAAAAAAATCTGTTCCTTTTCAGGGAGTACAATCAGGAGTCTTCATCTGACTCTGCCAAGGGCTCGAACGAGGATGGGCAAAATGGAACGGACTCACTCGGAGGATGTGGGCGTGGTCTCGCCTGTGGCCGCTTCTTCGTTGTTGGAGCCCGGTCGTTGGTGGCTCGTCTCGTCGCCTTCAGGGTTGCGCCGACGCTTGCTGGCGGCGTCGCGGATATGGCTGGTGTGCGCCGCTGAGCCGAATCCTGGCCTTTGGTATGTTTCGTGGGCCTCTCTGGTGCGCGAGCTGGTCTCTTTGTTGCCGGAGCCGTTAATTTTTGTTTTTATTTGGTTCGTCTCTCGTCGCACTTAAGTTTTAAGTCTCTTTTAATTGTTTTATATTTTGTGACTCGAGCGGTTTAATTTATATATATTTATTAAATTGCAAAAAAAAACAAAACCAAAAATTTTTATTTGTCTGTTAAGTTATTTGTTATTACGCGCCGGCTTAACTTGCCAGAAGGGAAAAAATTCGAATCTTTTGAGCAGATATGCAATATAAAAATTTTATGCTCACTTCGAGCTGGCACGCCCGCCGTTAACCGCTGATCAAATCGAACTCCTCGTACATTTGGGCAGCAACACCATCGGTGCCGAATTTCGGCACACGCATACATTTGCGAGGCGGGCACCGTTGCTGCCCATCTGCACAGCTGCATTTTTTTGGGTCAATGGCCCAAATGAAGGCCAAGGGCATATCCAAGGGCATGCGATCCACTCTCCTCATAGTCTCTTTAAGAGCGAACCGGGCGGCCAATAGCAATCGTCGCTTTTGGCGCCGTGGATCGCATGTCTGGCGTTGCCACCCTTCAAAAATTTGGGCTCCACCGTGGGCCCAGCTTCACCCCGCATACTCTGACCATATGACAAAAAGATATCGGCGTGGCCGATAATATCGCACGCAACCAACTAAGTAACCCTCGGTGCTGCCGATAACGTCAAATGCAACATCACCACGCAGATTATTGTAACGACATGAAGGACCGTTACAAGGAATCTGCGTGCGCATTTCATGGATTGACCCAGCCGGCTAATAACGATGCCCAACGTAGGCCACACCCACGACCCTGATCTACACCCGTCCTTCGCATGGAACACTCCCAAGGGCTTCCCTTTTAATTTCGTTATCGTCCGCCTCCGGCGGAAAATCACCAGCTCTTCGGTCCTCCACCCGGAAGTTTCGGTTGTTGGCGCTGCGCCCGTTCCTAACCTGAGGACTCCCGACAAACCTCGGTCTGGGGGGTGTATCCCTCTTCCTACGCACGCCTTGTCTATGTGGTTTCGGCGGTACCGACGGCGAATACGCTCCGCTCTGGAGCTCTTCGTCATATGGGAAGGCACCTGTTTCCGCGTCCGGCGCGATGTGTCTTGGTGTCACCGGCTCCGAATCTGGCTGTCTGGCGTGGGTATCCAACGGTCTGAGCACGTCGATGATGTCCTTCATCATCTCTAAAAAACCCGTTCGCAACTCATCTCGGATGGACTCGCTGATGCCAGATGGTAGAGCCTGCAGATAGGTCTGGTGAGCTTGTGCAATTGCCGCGTTCACTGCCGAGCTGATCACGGAATCGATTGTTGGTTCTGGGAACTCTAGACTCCCTAGAGGTCCCTTCGCCGGGATATCTTTCTTCGGAACTCCCCGTTCCTCAGCCATAATTGACTCCTTACCGCAAGGCAATAACCTAACTTTTAATAGCACCAATACATATTGATCTTACCGACCCTTACCACTATTTATAAATTAATGGATGATTGCACCAAATTCCCTAACGACGACAAATCTTGCTAATATTTACCTAAATTTATATAAATGGATACATAAATAAATAAATAACCACAATATTCTCTATCGCCGACAAAAATAAATCACTTTCACTAACAGATCTTACAAATAATAATAACTGAAGAATTAAATAAATATCGACAACGAAACCAACTCACAACAATAATATTCCATACTTTAATTAAGTTTCAAATAATTTGGGGGAGAGAAGACAAATCCTAACACAGGCTAACTAATCTACGCATAATCTGGACAGTGGACAACACTTAAGCATTCGTCAAATGCTCAGTTCGTCAGTTTGACTGACGAACGGCATTCAAGGAACGCTACCTTGAAGGCTATTTGGTTTCTGTCGCACTTCTGTGCACCCTTAGGGTATGCTGTGTGACAGGTGCGGCGCAGGATCGGCTCTATATCGTCCTGGGTCACCTGTCTCCGAAGCTCATTTAACTACGGCCAGCACACACCAAACGTTAACACAGAGTGGGACAAAACAAATAGAAAACATTAAACAAACTCTAGTAAGACCTACCCTAATATCACATTTTATCACAGGCTATTTTGTCATGGCGGCTACCACCAGGCTACGATGGACGGTCGCGAACGTTCGCCAACTAGCAAACGTGACTTACCGTCATCAACCGCGACAAGAAAACTCCCCATGTTAATGGACACCATGGCAAGATCCGTCTCCGTCGCTCTTCTGGCCATTCTTGGGATATGCTGTGTGACAGATGCGGCGCAGGCTCGATTCTATATCGTCCTGGGTCACCTGTCTCCGAAGCTCGTATAACTACGTCCAGCATACATCCAACATTGACACAAAATGAGACAAAAACTACTAATTGAATAAATAACATCTGACTAAACTACCCTAATATCACATTTTTTTAATCATGAGATGCCTTTGTCGTTGCGGCTACCACCAGGCGAATGATGGACAGTCGCAAACGTTTCGCCAACATGCGAACGGCCATCAACCACTACAAGAAAAACCCCTCATGCTTATGGATGGATATTCAGATAACCTCTACTTCCGTCGTGCTTCTCGGATTCCACTACACGCTGCGCGATTATGAGCTACCTACTCGTGCCACATAAGACTTCAGCGGTGTGGGTCCTGAAGCCAAGGGAGTCCTTTTCTCTGTACCTTCATTTATATCGTATTTATTTTTCTTTGATTACACACCGACTTCAAAGAAGCCGAGTGCTTCTTCAATTGGGCGCCATATTGTTACGGAACTGCTTGTTTCTCAGTGGGCCGCGCCGGCTGGCTCATCGGATTCTCTGGGTGCAGTCCCATCCCTGGCCCGCAGTCCGCACAATCGATAACAACAAAGCTACACGTCTGTAGCAAAACAGACTCACACAACACTACTCAAAATGAACCACATAATCGATAACAAATATTCGGAACTGCTAACTCATGAACAAAATAAACAGCTGTAACAACTATGAAAATGTAAACAACAAAGGTGAGACACTCAATATAAATTAACAAAAAAACACTATT